CTGGGGATTCCTACTTCCTAGGTGGAGTACCTTACATTTATCTTTGTTGAATTGCATTCTATTTCATTCTGCCCATTGATCTAACCTGTCCAGGTTGGCCTGTATTTGCTCCCTACCCTCTGTCGTATTAACTTTGCCCCATAACTTGGTATCATCTGCGAACCTGGGGAAGGTGCTCACCACACCCTCATCCAAATTGCTGATGAAGATATTAAATAATACCAGTCCAAGGACCGAACCTTGCAGGACCGCACTCCCTACCTCCTTGCAGGCTGAGAATGACCCGTACATCACCACTCACTGGGTGCAGTCCCTAAGCCAGTTAGCCACCCACCTGACTGTGTAGGCATCCACTCCGCAGCCTGTTAGCTTCCCTATGAAAATAGGATGTGAAACTGTGTTGAAGGCCTTCCTAAAATCCAGGTAGATGACATCGACCTCAGCTCATGGAAGTCCTCCATGATGCGGTAAGGACTACTCCCAGCCACATCATTAGTGCCCACATGGGCAAGGACTGTGAGGTAGTAGTTGGAGGACTTGATGAGATTAGGAATCCTTGCAGTGATGTCACTGATCTTAGCTCCAGGCATGCAGGAGACCTCTCTCATCATGGGATCTGGTCAGCAGATCAGCCCTTCTGTGCCTCTCAGGATTGAGTGACCCACCACAATAACTCAGCGTTTCTTCTTCTGCTTGGATAAATTAATATTTATCTGCCCTGGGCTGCCTGTCATGTGGTCCTTGATGGCTTGCCAAAACTCAGTAAGCGGCCCTCTGCCCAAAATAATTGCCTGCCCCTGATATAGTGGGTTGGGAGGGCCATTGGCCCTTACAGTTCTTGGCCCTGTGGACTGATTGTCAATGAGGATATCAATCCAGTGGAGGTAGCCATTCTCATAGTAAAAAACAATCATTGTTTCCAATGGGTTGATGGCCATTTGACCACTGAGAACTGGGCTGAAACAATGTGCTTAATGATTTTCAGTTATCACTAAGTTGGGCTGAGAACCCTAGAAATGAAACACTCTATTTCCAGTCCCCTGAGTCATCTGCTTTCTGTTTATAGGGCATTTCATTGTCAGCTGCACATCTTTTTTGCTGTCATATTTTATTTCTCCAACCCAAGGTCTAACAGTTTTTGAATAAAAAATATAATAATGGTCTCCTCAGAGAAGGAACTACTGTCCTAGGCAGGTCAACCTTTTGATCACTCAGCCATGACAATATTGCTTTTTAAAAAAATCTATTTCCATAAATCAAGCAGATCTTCAGTGTTTTCTCCACATTCTTGTAAGCTTGAGTAGCCTCTTATGTGCTCTCCAAGCAAGTGAGTGAAATGAGGCAAATTTAAACATTCCCAACATGGTTTTGGTTGCTTGAGTTGCTGTCAGAACAAATGATCTTATGCTTATTTTGTGTAATTGTGACATGCTGATAAACAAGCTGCATTGATATGCAAGGCTGATAGAATCTGATGTTTGTGGCATGTGTTCTCTAAAGGCACTTCTACCTGTGCTCCAGCGCGTTCTGATTAGAACACAACCACAGAATCGATCGATTGAATCTGCTACAGAGTTCTGATCGGGATGCTGCAATATCTCATTTATTCAGGGTCCCCATTTCTCAAAACAGTGGCAGGGGCACTTTAACTTAAGCTCATTTGACAAGCTAATTTAGTTAAAGCGCCCCCACCACCATTTTGAAAAGAGGGATGCTGAATACATGAGACTTTGTGGGCGTTTTAAATTAAAGCAGCTCCTGAAAGCTGCTCTAGTTAAAACATCGCCCCCCTTCTCCCCCTAAGAGGAACCCCCTCTTAGGGAGAGATATATGGGTGCCTTAAGAGGCCAAGTTGCGTTCCCAATTAAGAAGGGTACCACCAAACAAAGCAACTTGATTATCTTCTAGACTGGTTAACAACACACAGTTTTGCCAGTTGTTGTAAACAACATCCATGCAGTACCTGTCACAGGATGAGCTCAGAATTTTTGTCTGAGACTTTTACCACTCGGGCTTTAATTTGAAGATAGCTGAACAGATGTTACAGAGAAGCCAACTCATTGGCTGGGAAGAGTCTTCTGTCTGATGGTCCTTAACAACTAGGGACTAAAGTAGAGGGAACAAGTGGGTTTGGAGAGGAAATGAAAAGATAGGTATTTGTGACTCACAACTGTGGAATGAGGAATGAGCCGTAGTTTTTAATAGGGATGTTTCTTAAAAATCAAATGAATAAGGTTATTCAGGCATGTACAATGTCCTTGTGAAAGGCTTTTCAAATGATATTATACAGTATTTGTCTGATTTATGGTCCCATTAATGAAATGATTTCCCCTTGGCTTCTAAAAAGCTGAAGCTGGTTATAATTAAAAGAACTGCACCTTCCTAAAAGATTTATACAATACAGTCATTCCCTGGGCAGCAGGACAAGCAGAATGCCATTTGACTAAATGAAACATACTGGTCACCCTTGGCTATAGAACACTGATGAGAGTAACAAAGATGCCTTTTAGCCAGAACTGCTGAAATGGTCAGCTTGCTTTGCTATAAAGCTCAATTATGGACAGTGGCAAGGCAGTTAACAACAAACCTCAATTAGCTGTAATGTCCAGTAATAAAATAACTGGTGCGTAGTATCCATTGCACCCAGCTCCCAGTATTTTGGGTATCTGCACACTTCTCACCCTTACTCACAAGGAGCCAGCAAGTTCCTCCCTTCTTTACTATAGCGAAGAATTTCAGGTCCCTTCTCCATGTTAGTTCTCAGTGCAGCACACATGTACCTGCTTTCCACTCAGTTGGACCGTAAAGAACTGAACTAGAGACAAACAAAGCTGGCCAAAAATTCAGCATGGAATCAGAGAAGAGGTTGTGCTGGTTTTGACAGGTGATGGGAGGATGGCCAACTAAGTACCAGGATTGGTGCTGCTCTGCATCAGGTGCTTTGTTAAATTCCCTTCATCTCCCACTTTCTTCCTGTCATGTGACATGTATATTACAGCTGTCTTATAAAAAGAGTTTGCAGTTTTTTTGCACCCTAATATTAAGACCAGGCCTTTAACCATATGTCTTTGACTGTTTGCAGGCAAAGGAAGACCTTGAAGGAACATCCATTTTTTACCAGCAGATTTCCACTTTTCTATCCCATACAAGGCTTCCAAATGTTATCTGGTGGGAAGCAGAACTGACCAATTGCCTCCAGAACCAGCTATATTCACTCTGTCCTGAAATTCCTACTGTTGGACTCAGCTGTGTTTCTACCATTAACCCTGACCCTAAGGTACCATATATAAACCATTAGTGTTCTACCATAAACAGATCCAAAAAAAGTTGTACTTTATCCAGTAAGGTTCTTTTCTTTTTGTCTGGCTGAGGGTTTTAGGACCTTCATTTAACAGGTGCTGTGCCTTGCTGTGTCTTATTGGGTATTTATACCCATACGTTTTCATGCCCCAACATGCTGGAGATCCAGCGCATTGGAGCAGACTCGATTAATCATGTCTGCTCCACATACAAGCTGACACACACTGCGCTGTGTTGCATGCAGTTGTATAAGCAATGAAATGCATGTCAGTGTGCACAAAATGGTGGCAGTGCGTTTTTGAACGAGAACACCTTCGATGAGTTTTAGTTCAAATGTGCGCCACCACCATTTCTCAGTGCTGATGCACATTTCACCACTTAAACAACTGCACACAAAGCAGTGCAGTGTGCGTCAGCTTTTAAAAGTGTCCAGCGCTGCGGCACAAGCATGTATACAAATGCCCATTGAGATCAGCAAGGGTTAAAAATTCAGAGTATCTCTTAGGATCAAGTCCTATAAGGCTGTATCAGAATAGGCTAAATATGAAAGGACTTTAACTTCATGCCAAGCAGGGATGTACCTAATGATCCATAAGTGGCAAAAAAGTTAACCTCTTCATTCCTGGCAGGCTGTGCCAGTCTTGCAAATAGATGAACTGTTAAAAGAGTTTGTGCATTTCTGGTTTACAGGGCAGGTCTTTTTATTTAAAAGCTTCTGACCTTATTTAGGACTGGAAATATTGAACTGCCTTTTTTACCTAAATGCAAATTGTCATAGCTGCATTCAAGCTGAGATATACTGTAAGCTATATTGTGCCTTCTGTAGGACAGATTTACTGGACCTCTAGAGTCTCTCCACAGCAGGTAGTCAGAATGTACCTGTCTGCATTTCCTGAGAGCCAGGAAGAAGGCTGAGAGAGGTCCAGCAATGGAACCTACAAACCTTCCAACAAAAGAGTTCTGCACTGGAAGCAATGTCCTTTTTCTTTAATAAATAGCAGGGGCCACCAGCAGGTATATTTTTTCTTCCTTGCCTACATGCACTACCTCCAGCTATTCCTGCTCAATACAACTACATGGTATTTGCCTTTTCTTCTGCATTAATATCCCACTTACTCCATTCCTGTAGCAACAGTGGGAGTCAGTCAGGTTGTTTCTTCATTCCTAGCTCAATGTAAGTACCAATGCACCATCCCAAGAATTAATGGACATTGCAGTATTCTTCCGTAACTAAATTGAACAGCTTTTGAAACTGAGGTGGTATGACAGTGATTACATAATTGTAATTAGATTCAAGGGTTAATGTTTCTCAGTGTCAATGAGGATGTTGAAAATGTAGGTCTTAACCTTACATCTTCAGTTTTTCCTATAGGTTATCCAATATCTTTGAATGAAAATGGGTATTTATTTCTCATTGATGTGCAGCTAGTGTAAACTTTAACTCCTGGCAAGTGGTGTAAAGCAGCCCAACATATTTGTAAAAGATATGGTACATATTTGTAAGGTATAGAATTAGGCTTAATTTAAAACATGCAGAGCTTTTATGCCTGCTGTCTGTTAAGTGAATTATAAATCTTCAGAAACTGAACAGTCAAGCAGCACCTACATTTCCTGTGTGAAGGATATCAGCTTCACCTGTTTTGAAGAAATGAAATTAGATTAACAGCCAAATTCCCTTCTGAGTTTTGAGTGCTTAGCACCTCCCTGGATCAAGTCCTCAGTTACACAAAGACCACAGCACATCCTGGACATGCATCTCTTTCAGTTAAAACAAAGTTGGTACCTCCAAACAAGACAACAGGCCAGATTCTCAGCTGCCACCAGATTACTCTGTTAACTACATTGGAGCTATGCCAGTTGTCACCAGCTGGGAATCTGTCCTTATGTTAATAAAACTATACTTGCATAAGCTCTACATATAATAATCAAAATTTGCTTTAATTGGGTACAAGGGCATGAATCCCTCTTACCATCTTTTATATTGTGAGGGACCAAGAGATGCAACTAGAATTGAGCGCTCTAAACACTGAACACACAAAAAGTAAATGCCAATTTCAACTCCAAAGAGCTTGTAGTCTAAACAACAAGATACAAAGGGTAGATTAAACTAAGGAATCAACAGGAGTTGGGAGAAGGAAAAATAAGGTAAAAATATAAGATTGCTTCAGCACAGCCTAGATTTATGCCCCATTATAAGCAGTCATCAGCAGTAATCACAGTGAATCTTAAACAAACTGTTTGTCAGAGAGAGAGAGACAGTATTTTGCTTTCAGTCATTTGGCGAAGTTGTTTTTCAGCAAATGTTGAGCCCCAGATTAGATCACTGTACCTTTGTATCTTACTTTGAAATTTTCCATTAAGGCTTCCTTTTCTTTCCTTTCTCATGTCCTTGTGACAAAGTATTTAGCAGAATTTCGCAGATTCATTGGAATCTGCCAGCCCCATGCTTTGAGTACTTCTACTGTGTCCATACATATCATTTATTGATCTGCAATATTGCACTTTAGTTATGAAGAACAAATTCGCACAGGAACCATTACAACCCCAGATTAGGTTAGGAGTGACATAATCCTTGAGAGGTTATTAATTAGAATGCTCCTTGTCAGCAAAAAGAGAATAGCTTAATTTTAATATGATATAAAACCAAATGTTGACTCATGTTAACATTTAGGGGTTCTGAGGAGATGGATTTTCATCTTCATCACTTCTTTCCCCAGCCTATTCCTTCCTCATTATCCAAAATGAGTGGAGAGTAGTGTATTGGAGAAGGTTCAGCCCCACCAGGAGCGAGACTGGCCCACTCCCTTCTAAAGCATCAACCATTTTACTGAGCCCACACCCTCTGGTTTGCTTTCTCCCCCAACTTCCTCCCTTGACTGCCCAAAGGAGAAGGCCAGTTTCAAAAGGAGTGCCAAAGAAGGCTCAGGATGATGCCTGATCTGGGGCTTGGTAGTTAGACTACTGTACTAGGAAGTCAGAGAGATGCAGGTTTAAACCTTCTTTGGGTGAGGGGAGCCTAGACTTTGGGGGGCTTCTTTGGCAAGTGCTGTAATGATTCATTTATTGCGGGTAAGAAATAGAAGGGCTGCATCCTTCTGTTCCCTCCACAGTCTAACACCTACTAGTCATGGGTTTCTGGCTTCCTACACATATGTGTAGGGACCTACCTAATTCATGGAGGCTGCCTCCTCTGTTTTATGGGCAGAACATGGTCCCAGGCAAATATTTTCAGATGAAGTGTGGTGCCCCCCCATGCCTCTGATTGACTGAGGGGCCTAGTGGCCCCATGCCTTGCCACGGATTGGCTGTAGGGACTGCCTGTCATGTGGACCTGCCCTTCACCACTGATTGGCCAATTGGTGGAGAGAGGCGGGGCCACATGACAGGCAGTTCTTGCAGCCAGTCAATGGTGAGGGGCAGGGTCAGCAGCCATCTTGCTGGCATCCCTTCAAGTGGGCAGTCACCCCCCCACTTCCCAGCAAGCTGCCACAGTGCTTGATAAGTTATTTATGTATTTTTTTTCCCGTGGATTTTGTGGATTTCATGGGCATTGCCCAGATTTTGCAGGCAATTCCATATTTCATGGAATCCATGAAATCGCTAGTTTGGTAGGTTTCTACTTATGTGTCTTAGACTCTGGTACGCATCCACAACTGGTGCACACTGTGTAGCTTACTGTGTATGGCAGTGTGCATGTGCGCACTTATACATCCCCACTGTCAGGGAAATAGAATGGCTACTTGTGTATAAGTGGCAGTTTTTATACTTACACACCTAAACATATGCCATTTAGACGCACAGAAAGAAATAGAATTCCACTCAGTCTCAAAAGATCATGAAGGGTGAGGAACCACTCCCTGATTTCTTGGCATGAAAATTCTGAATAAGCTCTGTCATCTTCCAGGAAGTCTCTCAAGAGAAGTGGTTGAAGTAGAAGGGGCAGAAGACCCATCATGTGCAACATATAAAATTGGATTAGAGATATTACTAAAATATGCTGTTACATTGTTTAAGCCAATGGTGTGTGATTATTTTGGGTGGAGGGCCACTTAAGTTTTGGCGAGCTGTTGGGGGTCTCATAAGTAGCTCCAATCCTTGACAGTTGCCCCACCCCCTGGTTGCAACATTGGGACCAGAAGTCCTGCCTCATAACCCATGACCTTTGCCACTGCAAGTCTCTCCCCACCTGCCCCCCACATACTCGTTTTGGGAGTAAGGGGTTGCAATCTTAGAACCAGAAAAAAAATCGTACACTAAAAGACAAAAACCTACTATAATATATTTTTAATGTTATTACAAAATGTATTTGTTGTGACTTGTGGTTTTGTACTGTATATAGAAGGGATTGCATAATAACTCAAAAATAAAGGGTCACTCTTTTATATTGTG